AAAAGCACCTCTCTTCTGAGAAACCATAGATGGTTGGAAAAAAAGCAGTCGGTGTAACAGTTTTAGCTCTCAGAAGTCTTGAGGAGCTTGTTCGTCGTCAAATAGTCCAGCAGGCCATCTTCGATTGCTGCCAGTAATCTACGCGCTTTACATTCCGGCAGAAAAGGGGCCTCCTACTGTACAAGAAGGTAGAGGAAGGACGGTCGAGGCTCCGAAACAACGACTATTTACGGCTCTCACTTACCAATTCTTAAACGTTTCAACCCCCCATCCTCAAAAATGTGAACCACAAATTGGAGGTGACCTTTTCCGAGTTGGAAAAGGAAAATGGACCAAACTAGCCTTCTAAGTGTGCTGAAGAGTTTCAATAAGAGTGAAAAATTGTTTCAAAACAAAATTGGCGAACTCGCTAAAAAGCGCGAAAAACGTTTTCTCAAATAGAATAAAAAGTTGCATCAAGTTGCTGGATTTGTTTTGAAAATAGCATTCAAACTGAAATGCCAAAAGTGGGTGAACTTAGTGTCTGACCTAGTAAGAAAGACTCAAAAAGGTAAACTTGTTCGTGCAATCGAAAATATAATCAAATATACGACAAGAAGTTCAAAAACAGGAATGGTGAACATGACAGGAAACAAAAAGATTGTAATGAATTACCTGAACAGCACACAGTGAAATAGTCGCCAAACTCCTCACGAATCCAACGTATCATATCCAAGGCTCGATACTTGTAGACTGGAACTCCATCAGTTTCCTGAAATATTAATTTTCTAACCAAGAAAAAATATGGGGAAGACTTCAATATTCCCCACCTTATTGAGAAGTCAAAATAACATTTGAAAACAGCGTTTTAATAAATATGATAGGAAGAAAGATTTATAGGGCCGTACACAGGTCCTTTAAAGAAAAAGGTCACTTCAATCGTTTGACCACCAGTGGAACACTAATGTAACATCACAACCTGATGAGCAATTTTGAGACATGGCGAGGGTTTGAAAGCCGCATTTTATACAGTACAAAGCATATTTCCCTCACTCGATAATATTTCGCCACAAGTGTGAAACTGGATCTTCAAACAGGCACTCCTATCCCAAAAAAGTTCATCAGATTGTGGTGGTACATACAGTAGCGGACAAGAGTGTTCGCCGAAGCGGTTTTTCTTGCATTATTTCTTCTCATTCGAAGAACTCACAACACATATTGATATGCTACGCCTTCCAGTATTCTGACTCCTTAACCTAAAGTTCACGGTATCCAGAAGAAGTCTTATGATAATTCTAAATTATTTTCAAGAGAAAAAAAAACAAAGATATGCGCAAAGGCCGTCTCGGCGAACACTTTCGACCGCCACTTCATGTGCCCCACTGGTTGTCCAAGGGTCAGTACGATTTTTTGATGGATGTATGTACAACACTCACTTAAACTTCATATTTTCGTGCTTGTAGCAAGCTCAATGTTCTCTAACCAGCATTATCAAAGGTAAAGCTAAATACATTATCAATCTGAGCTAAAGCCTAAAATCGCAGCAAAGCGTAGATAAGAGAATCTGAAACGTACCATAATGGGAAGGTCTCCTCGAAGCGCGAGAATGTTCCGAAGCCCGACAGATTTACTCTGTTCGAGGTGTTTGATCGTCTGTTCCTTAGAGTACTGCGCGCACGTCATATGAAGCATTGTATCCACCCGACAGTAGTCAAGACATCCGGCAGCAATCGATGACGACGATGTCTCCTTGTTCATGTTGGCTGGAAAAGCTCCGGTCTTGCGAAGTACATTTTTGAAAAAGGCAAAATTAATGAAAGACCAGTGTTGTGGTAGCTAGCCATACAATAAAGCGATCACATACCTGGATCACTACCCAAATGCCAAGTGATGTCAACAAATAGCGGGCCACCTTCGTTGAAACGATCCAACCTGAGATTCGATTAACATACTCAGTCCATGTTGAATGAAAATTTGACACAAAGCTTACCTAGTGAAAAAATTTGCCACTCCATTTGCCGTTTTAGGTGGGAAAAACTCTAGTGAGAAAAATGGCGTCTTATCCTGAACTCGTCTATTGATCCTCTCATGGAGTGGGACGTATCTTCGCTGACAAGCCTGTGAGAAAACAAATACAATGAACCATCGAGAATGCTATTTTGGAGAAGATCGAAATCGCCACAATAGAAACAAAACCTTGTAGGATGTATTTTACGAAGAGACATTATTCTATCTACCAAAAATTAATAAAGAAGATAAACAAAATACGACCATAAAGTGTGCAAATCACTTTGGACTAGCACGACTAAAAGAAGAGGTAAAAATACTGCAATTCAGAAACCCCAGAACGTTATAAACGGTCATAAAATGTTGTACAAAAGCTTTAAACTAAATAAGAAAGCGAAGAATAAATAATATCATGATAGAGTAAACTCACATCAAATGAAAGATGCTCCTCATCGCTGCCGCTTCGTTCATGCAAACTTGAAACGCTTCCTCTGCAAAATATAGACTGGTGTTAATCACAATAGTGATATCTCATTGTGATAACGCTATCGATCACAACTCACCCACTCATTAGTACAAACACACATGTCGCAGGAAGTTCAAATAGAAGTGACGTTATCAGCTAATCAGCAGTAAGTTCAAACTTCATTGCATTCAGAAAAACCCACCAACAAAATAAGCATACAACAAATGTGCGAGTGAAATTGGCGGATCGGCAAAATGGCAGGATAGTGCACTAGCATTACAAATATCGATTACCTCGAAAAAAAAGTAGTTGGCCGTGGGACGTGCCCTTTTTTTAATTCAGAACCCCGTCTAGCAAAACATGGACAACTTTCAAGACAGGGTAAAAACATTAGGAGGTTATAAAGGTGGGGTTTGTTTCGCAAGCTTCAATAGATCGTAACTGACTTATCTAGAACCCTAAACCCTTGACAGTGAAATATACCCTCGAGATTCCTTATTGTTTTGTACCTTACCTTTTCCGACCCCCTTACTTTTTTATAACAGCTGATTTGGCATATTGCTTATATTTGGACACATGGCGAATTGTTATGTAAACAAATAAACATTTCCAGTAAAAAAAAACTTATTATGTCTGACTTACACGTACGGAATGGCGATTTTCTTCAACTCTTCATGGCTTTCACCTCCATTTGAGACGTTATTTTGTTTAGCAGCGACAACCATACTAAACGGTTCGAAGGCATGAATTCGTTCCAGAAACAATAGAATAAGGATAAGAACACGCTAAGCAGCACATTTCAAAAACGAGGACACAAGTTCGCGCTAAGATCAGCCCGCGAGTGCACGTGGCGCGCACGTGAACGATGTCGGTCAAGGACCACGCGAGGTGGTGACAGCCGGCTGGCTTCTGCGACGACGGAAACGGATGCGAACAGAAATTCTAATCAATCAATGGATGAAGGAGGTGCTTAGCTATAAATTCTTCCATCCGCATGATATCACACAGCGGGTGGTCTCGTCGGCTGCATAATATCCGAGAAATTTGGCTGAATAAGAAAAAATTGTGGGAATTTTATGCCCAGTATTTTAAACCTCTTCCTCTAAACCTCCAATATTACACAAAATGTAAGTGCGATTTCCGGGTCTACCCCAGTTCGGGGGGGGGGGCATCATGATGCCGTTTTTCCAGAAGCTAGGTAACTCCAAGCCAGGGGAGTGTAGACAGTTTAGGAGGGTGGGAGTGAGACGAGGCTTTTGGCGTGAAACTGAGGATGTCGATTTCACTAGTTCCCGAAATTAACTGTATCATTGACGCCCCCCCCCCCGTAATTGGGGTGATATGGACAGTTTCCGCCTAAATATTCCTGCAGAGCCTCCTAAAGCATTCCTTTTACCAAAGACCCACTCTTCTCCCGTAATTGCTTGCTCCAAACCTTCTAAAAAACTTTTCTGCTCTGAAGAGAAGACCTGTCGCGGTTGCTAGAAAGCCACAATCTCCGCGGAGCTGTTGCGTTAGTTGCCAGTATAATGCCTTGACTAAAAAAAGGTAGTTACATAGAGACGGTTTCAAAAACGACGCGTGCTGGACTGCCTCGCAATCTCCAGACACCTTCTGTGTCAAACGCCCGCCCAACCTGTCACAGCACGGCGTCCCTGGGTGTACAGTTTGAACGGTTTCTAAAGTTCCCATGTGTTTCGATCGGCATTGTGTCTGTACGGATTTCTCTGGACTTAACAGCACGCGAGGTTGTAGTGCTTCCGCGCGTGTAACGGTTCGACGATTTCGCCTTCTTCAGAGCCTCGAAAAGGTGGAAACCAGTTCCCGATTTCCGACCAAATGTCTCCCTACCCTACGAAACCACCGAGACCAGCTGAACCATTTCATAATTAATAGGCAGATAAAGTACCGTACTCCTCGAGCAGCAGCGAGAATCAGTCACACGCGCGCCTCAGCAGCGCAACGACAGTTTCTCTTCCTGAACGAGACGACGTTGTGCATAGGAACTTTTGTCACGCCCACCTGTCCAAAAGGGTCCCTGAGTGTCCAGTACGAATATTTCTCTAAGAGAGCCAGTTCCCATAAAAGTTCCCCCCCCCCCATGTGCCACAGTAACTACAGACGATGTTACCATTTATTATGAAAGAAAAGAAACGGCTTCGTCTTAGAAAAAATACTATTCGAGAGCGAAACACCACTCCGAACGCTTTGCCCGACCCAAGATTGGAGGGGTAACCAAAAGGAACAGGGCGGAGACTTCGGTAACGTCACAGACTGTCCCTATAGGACTTAGAGCGTGTTTGTTGAATAATGTCGATCGTTCATGCAAATTAGGACGCGAAAGGAAAGAATGAGACAGCAGGAACAAGCATTTCCACGCAACGATTGCCAGGCTATTGTCCTGGCGTTTAGATCGCCAACGGCGGAATGAGACAGCAGATTGAAACGGTCCGTGAAAGTATTCTAGGTAGCCGCTTGGACAAAGATAAGTGCCTCCATGAGCTACTGAATATGCAGAGATTAAATGAGTTTTGAGTACTTGCTAAGCGATTTTAAACTAGGTAGTTACCTTAGCGACGTCAAAGTATCGAGGCGGCGTTTTTTTTTCGCGTGTACTGCGGAACCCTAGCCCCCAGAAAACCAAGTTTCAGCCAAAAATTTAGGCCCTTCAGAATCTATCAATCCATACCTGAAGAATACTCCAGCAAGCTTGGACGTGGCCTTGGAGTGGGCCGTGGGGCGTAAGGTCTCAATAGAGGGCAGGTGCCACAGCCCTTCGTGGTACGAGGGGATTACGTGCGGAAAGACCCCGTTGAGTGATGCATAAATTTTCGATGAAAAGAGGAGAGTGGAGATTTTTGTTTTGTAGAAGTTTTATGGGAATTAATATTTGCAGGCTGCGGGACTTATGTGGGCCCCATGGCTCAACCTGACGAGTGCCCTTATTTGGTCATCGAGAAGGCGCTACTCAAAGCGAGACATGCTTATGTAGACTCATAGGTAGTTACCTACAGGACTGGTTGTTCCATTCCTTTTTCTAGCAACTGGGAGCAGGCTCCGCCCCAAGATCAGTTCTGATGAAAGATTAAATCAAATTGTGCAGAACTGGTTAGAGACTTCCTTACAGTGAAAAATGGACTAGCGTTGATGAGATGACGAAGTTTGCATGCTCCTGGGAAAAAAGAAAGGAATGTGTCTGTCTATCAAAACCGGTCCCACGACCTCTTCCTGTAAGCCAAGACCACTACCCGCTGCGATTTCTTCGCAGCTCGGCTACACCTCTTCGCCGTGCTTGCTGCGACTGCATGAATCTGGTGCAGAAGAAGGCTCAATGAGTACAGAGAATTGCATAGCAGATGAGAAATTCAGATGGAAAAGATTTAGACCAGACAGAATTCGCACTCTAATTCAAACGGCTAGTGAGCCTTAATGACAGCGAACACGATGATTGGAGGGCGGGGCGATTTTGATGACGTCATCGGGCATGACTGTCCTGGCAAACAGCGTTAGGAGATGGTCCCAACGAGCGCGTTGAGGACTCTCTCTACCAATAACGTCTTGTGACGTCATCACAATCCTCCAACCTCCAGCCATTGTGTTCTGCCTTTAATGTTGTTTCTGAACCCAGTGATTTGTCCTACTCGTTCGATCAGGCTTCAATTAGGCCTGGTATGCTTATCGGGCTACGGTCTTCGGCGTCAACATTCGTAGGGGTTGTAATAGCCGAAAAACATAGAAAATGGTGCTGCATAATGCTGCATAATCATGAAATTATACGGGCGTTTTGGTAGCAATAATTCTTAAAGCATTCTAGAGAAGCGAGGGAATAACACTAAAGAGTACTGCAAATGGGAAGAAGTTATGTTGATTTCGACGAGAAGGAAAACCGCATCAAAATACGGCTTGAAAAGTTTGTATGCAATGTAGAAATAA